TAAATATTTATATTTATATTTCAATTCCACAGCTCTTCTTTTAGGGGGAGAAAAAAAGAGAGGCATTTTACATGATGGCAGTTTTACAGTATTAGCATTTGGAGCTCCTGTCAGCATATTTGCAGAGTTTGGTCACCAACTCCCTCCCTGCCAGGATCACAAATGCTCTTCTTTCCATAGATGTATTTTCAGTCCTCCTTGCCGTCCAGCTTGTGATCTGCCTCTTCCTCTTCTTCGCCGACATTGATGCTGTGTACAGCGGCATGGAGGTAAGCACAAGTGGAACATGCATTTCCTTTTCATGCCACATATTTTGCTGGCCCTTTACCTAAGCATACAGAGCAGAAGCTACAGCTACCGTCATCTTGGAAATAAATTTGCTGATCTGCTGCTGACTGGGCAGCCCTTCCAAACTTCTGACATCCTTCTGACAAGGGCTTGATTAATGAGGTAGTCCTCCTCTGCTCTACAGACTGGGTGGCAACAGGGAGAAGAAGAAAGTGCTTATAGCTTGCTGAGCTTTTCCTCTTAACAGAAAAGCACAATAGGGTGGATTGTGTTTTTGCATGTTGGAGGCTGGCTGGCAGGAGAAGCAAATGTGTGGGGATTGCTGCTGCCCCCCACCCCCGGACCACCATGAGCTCACGTGGGGCTGTGGCTGTCTCTGCCCTCCCCAGCGCTCAGCAGGCGGCTGCCTCCAGCTCTGCTGCCCAATGTTGGGAATGGCCGAGCCCTGCGCCCACCCCCAGCCACCCTGCATGGGGTGGATTCGGGTGGAGGCCTGGCATTAGCGCAGAGGGAGAGGAGCCGCACGTTGTACGTTAGTGCCGCTCCTCAGAAGTATTTGGGCACTGGATCCTACCCCAGGCACCTGATCTGTGGGCTTCAGCAGTAGCTTATGTAGCTGAGATATGTTCGGCAGCTGTATGCCGTGGGGAATCTGGCATCAAACCTTCCAAGATGTCTGCGACAAGGAATTACTGTCACTTCCTACTGGCTCCTCCATGCTTGCCACTGGGTAATGTTAGTCAGCCTCTCAAATCATTAGGAACAGATGCAAATCTTGGCAAGGCATTTAAACCTAATTGCTGTTCATGTCTTTTCCAACAGTTTCTTTGCACTCCTATGCTCTGGAGAGTTTATATCTTACTGATGCTCCTGGTCACCTTTTGTGTATCCTTTTTTACAGAGGTGAGTGCATTTGGTTACTGCCTGTTCCCCTGGGGTGAACAGGAGCAGTGTCTGGTCAGGTCTTTCTACTCCCATTTGCAGCCACGATCTCCTCCTGCAGAAGCATAAAGCCTCAGCTTTTTGTTTTTTTTTCCCCTTAAGACTCAATGCATGCCAATCAAATCCATTTTATGCTGCACCAGAGATTATTTAGACCACATCTCTTCAGCCTTTAGAGAGAGTGAGCTGAAGTGCAGCTGCCCAGGAGGAGCCCTCTGCCCGGGCTCACAGGGGACCAAATCACAGCATGGGTCAGGCACTTGGTAGCAACAACTCCTTCCCTCTTGCCCTACAATGGATCAGGCCAAAGGTTCTGCTGGCTTGTGCAGTTGGATGTTGCAGTAATGACTCAGCTTTAAAGTGTTCTGTGGGTCAGGGCTGGCTGTGTCACCCCCTGTAAGGGCAAAGGCTGCATCCAGCACTGGGTATTGTTTCCTGCAAGGAGCAGCAGTGTCCAGTCATCCCACAGCCCTAGAAGGAAGAACAGGTCCCTTGATTGTCCCCTTCAGCCAAACAGACCGAGATCAGTGTTGTCCTGGTGTAGCTGAGCGGAGCCTTCCTGTGGATGAGGATGGTGGCAGCTGTGCTACTGAAGGGGAGTGCACGCAGCTGCCCAGCACCATGGGGCTCAGGGGGCTGCACATGTAGCAAGGGATGGCTTTTGTCCCCGAGTGGTCTTCCCTCCCCATGAAGGGCAGCAGCACTGACCCTGTGCCTTGTCACTCCGCAGGACGTTATCTTGCAGAACAAGCACCTCTGGCTGCTGCTTAAAGCCTGGTTTGGGTACCAGTCGAAGAGCCAGTACCGAAAATGGCAGAGGATGCTGCAGAGGGATCCCAACTGGCCTCCCATAAACACAACAGACTTTGCAGCAAAAAGAATGGACGAGACTTACGTTAACCCCACCTACGAACGCAGTGATGATGACTAGGCCAGACCCTGCAGCCGGGCGTGGGACTGTGCAGGGCTGGCAGCTTCCCCAGCTTGCACTGAGCAGCCCATGTTTTCATCCTTTGCACACCAGATTCAGACGTTTGAGATCCTTGCACCAACCCATCCATTTCAGGGCCAGTTGGGCCCACGCTGGCTCTGTCCTGGAGCACAGGCAAGGATTATTCTCTCAGCTGCCGGTAAAATAACAGCCTTTACTCTACTCCACGGCAACAGCAGGTCTCAGGCCTTGCCAACATCTACAAAGACTGAAAATTACCGAATACAGCAAAGCAATGGCTTCTGCTGCTCCACGTCACACTCTCACTCCATGTTTCAGCCACTGTACAGTTGCAAAATCCTGCGTAAAGTGAAACATAGCTTCCAAGAAGTACAAGAAAGTTCCCAGATGGAGCAATTCCCATTTTCTTGCATCCTGGAGTGAATTACAGAGGTGAGAGGGCACATATGCTGTCCTCACCCAGCTCTCCCTTGCCAGTTCTTGCAGACATAGTGCTCAGAGTACAAGAAAGGTTAAAGCTCAAGGGTTGCTGTAAGGCCAGGCTGGACCCGCTGCTGAGGGTGCACCCCACTGAAGCTTGCAAAGGCAGAGGACAGCACAGCTGCTGCACCCACAACCCCCCCACTTCGTGCTCTGCCGCTGCCAGGTCCTGGCCCAGGTTTGGTGCCACGTGGCAGAAAGCAGGGCTAAGCCTTGGCTTCTTGCTTTAACTAGGTCATGCCAAGAAGCAGGGGTTTAATGTGCTCTGGCACACAGCTGCTGGACAGGTATGAGAGGCTGAGCCCCTCTGTACTTGCGCTTTCATCTTCAGGTTGCTCAACCGCCTCATCAGTTTAGCCATGAAAGAACTTCTGATTACATTTGCAGGAAGCAAAAAAGGACTTTCAGGTTCAGTTTTATTATAATATATTTTCCCATATTAAAAAAACCTTTATTTAAATGTAGTAACAGAGGGCATTACAAAATATGACCAGAAGTTTTGGCTTTGTTATTCCAAACACTGAAACAACTGATGTTTAAAAAAAGCTTCTGATCCCATTATGTACAAGAGCAGACAAAAATAGCAAGCCTCTTACAGACAGCTCTTTGCTCTCGTCTCTTCTTACAGTCCAGGCAGTTGCCTGTAGCAAAAACAACACAGGATTTAATTTCTTACACGTGGTCTGCAAATAACCTGGTTCCAAACACGCAAGCCAGATACTCCTGGTATAGAGTAACAAACCACACTTCTCCAAACCAGTTTTCTTCTAAGTCAAGCCGTGTGTCGGCTTTGTGACAAGGAAACAGCAGGGGCTCTGTAGGTTTGGAGATGGAGCCTAGGTACTGCACAGCTCATTCTCCAGGTACATCACCCACAGCTCTGCAGGGACCCTGGCTTTCCCATCCTGCTGGATGGAGGAAAATCCATCTTATACTGGGGCTACAAACCACTTACATTCAACTTCTGGTCACTGAAGGGCCAGTGGCCCCAGCTGCAGGGTGCAAAGGCTTCTGGCTGCCCTTGCAATCCGTGGTGGTCTTTCTTTAAACCTCAGAGATCTGGCAGACCAAGGAGTAGAATCACGAAATGGTTTGGGTTGGAAGGGGCGTTAAAGTCATCCAATAAGCTTCATCAGGTCCAATGCCAACAATTACTGCACTTACAGTGATGAAGAGGGAAATTTCAGCAGCACAGTGGTCCCAACCTGGAACAAACAGCTGCCAGAGAAGGAGCTAGCTCTGTTTGCGACAGATCCCCCAGCCTGGGGGCCTGCTGCTCCCAAAGGGAGTGAGAGGAGCCAGGGAAAGGGACACTTTGCAAGCAGAAGAAAACAGGAAACCAACACCACACCAAAACCAGAGCACTCATTTAAAACGCTGAAGGATACAACTGGTAAGGCCTGCCCTTCCTTCCTACCTCCCACCCTCACAGAGGCAGCCCAGTTTAGGCACTGAGACACAGCACATGCCTCGTCTGCCCTTCCACAGGCCTGGGAACCTGAGGTTTTTCCACTTGCACAGGAAGGAAGCAATACTTTTACATTACTTTTGTTTAAAAATTAAAACAAACAAACAAAAAAGTGTTTCTTCAAGCAGGTTAAAATAGGTTATTCACAGAGAAATCCCACAGGATGTAACTGATAAAAACAGAATGCATGTAAAAAGCCTGCACCAGCACTCAGCAGAGCACTGGGGATGCGAGGATGGAGAATTTGCTTGCAAGTGCTCCCAGACTACCACAAAAATCAGCACAGGCAATGAAATAACAGCAGATGCGGCAAATGGGCTAGTGCTGCTCTCAGCAAGGCCAGCACAGTCATTAGTACACCTCGATGGCAGCTGTGGCCACAAAATGTCCCTGGTCCCTCCCAGCCGGGGACTCCCTGCCGTGTTCCAGGCTCATCCAGGTGGGCTGTCAGTACTGTCTCTCTCTGGATCTGCTCCGGAGCAAGCCCACCAAGGAGAAGGCAGCGGCGGCAGCTGTTACGACCCCAATGGTAGTCACAGCTCTGCTGGCCTGCAGAGGGAAAGTAAAGCACAGGCTGGAAACACCATGAGCTTTTTTTTTTTTAAACCCCCAGGCTTGCTAATGAAGAACAGGCAGGGAAAATTAAGGCAAATGAATGAGACACTTGCCCCATAAGCTCAATGGGTAATGCTCAGGCTTGCAGCCTTGGGTGTGGTATTCAGTAAGAGGCACTGCTATGGTGCAGACACACCACAGTGAACCTCCTGGCTCGGGGTCTCTGGTGAGATGAGAGGCAGTGATGGTTTGGACCTGGGAGCTTTGTTGCCCCTATAGAGTTTGCAGGCTATGCCCTGGTCCAGGGGCTCATGCAGAGCAGCAAGGAGATCTACCACAAGGCATGCAAGGGCTTACCCTATGATACTTACCTGGTCAGAGACCCCCTCGCCGTAGCGGAGCAGTGTCACGAAGTGCTCACAGTTGTTGCCGAGCAGGTCGTAGGACACCTCCTGGTCGATGAGACGCTCGGCACGCCGGATGATCTCCTCCACCGGGAGGGGAGGGTAGGAGCCATCGTACTTGTTGTTGATGCGGTAAGTGTCATTTCCCACCACGTCCTTCAGGAGCTGCATCCTCACCCGGGCCTTTCTGCTGAACACTGACTTGGCGCTGGCAAGTGTGGCTGGGGGCCCTTCATCTGGGGAAGGCAGGGATGGGATGAGCCAGGCAGGCCTTTCTGCCCCCTCCAAGACCTCAGAGGGGTCTCTGGCTGGATCCTGGAAAGGCCATCTACAGTGTCCCCTACCAGCCCGTGAAAGGAGACAGCACTCCTGGATCATCCAAAAGCCCCCACCACACCCTGCTGGGCTGCACCAGCCTTACCTACGGGAGTCACGTTGATGATGTATCCATCCCCCAGGTAGAGGGCCCAGTGCTGGTAAGCCGGCCGGAAGATCTCAATCAGGTCCCCGGGCTGGGGGTCGCCGGGGTTGGTGGCGCTGAACGTCCCGGTAGCTGCCATCTCACAGGTCTGAGGTCAGGACATGTCCCTCTTGCTGGGCAGGCTCAGCGCAAGGCACAGATTGGGGCCGGGGACGCGCTCGGGGCATCTGCTGGTAGATGGCAGGAAGGGAGACGGTCAGGGCCCGGTGCTGGCAAGCTCGCACCGCATGTGGGGCATCGTGGAGTGGCACCCACAGCTGCTGTCGTGGTCCCCCTCTCTGCCCGGCTCCAACTGAGGCTTCCCGTTAGCGACGCAAGGGTAAGAAACG